AAGCGATGGCAGGTGGAGATCTGCAAGGCGATAGCTATTCCATCGAAACGTACATGAAGACACTGTCGTACCAGCAGAATTTGCGCGGTACCTTGGACTCTGAGCACGAGCAGGTCTATCAAACCAACCTCATCCTTGCCGAGCTCTGCAGAATCGAGAAGCTTGTCGACAAGTTCTCCGAGCGCTATTGCAACGTTGTCAACACAGCCGAGACAGGCATTGATTGCGGTGTGTATGTGGCTATGGAGGCCTCGCTTCGAACCCGCGTCCGCGATACTTTCAAGACAACCATGTCGGTCGCTCCGGAGAACGTCAAGCGTCAGATGGCATCACGAACACAGGGCCGTCTGCGTGTCCACACAGTGTAGCTTTCGCCCATTCGCCCTTGAAGAGCTTCTTTTCCTTGTCTAAAGCTGCACGATACTCCCGCTTCAGTGGGTATGAGCGACGCCCACCTTCCTCTAGCTGCGTCAACTTGAAGCATACGTTTACTTCCGTCCGCTCATTCCACAACCTGTATATACCCCCAATTGCCAACTTACAGATCAATTTCGGACGATACAACGCAGCAAGTGTACTCTACCATCACCGCAATCTCATTGGTGCAGTTGTAATATATTACTTATCATGAACCGTATCTCCATATTCAGTACAGAGAAGTACAACTAACCCAACTTGGCTATCTATATCCAATTCTAGCTACCTTATTTCTGCGTCTCGCTTCTTCACACCCGATTCAACTGTTCTCTACCTCGTATGATTCCAAGCACCCTACCAAGCGAGCTTGCCTCCGTTACCGGGACACAGAGTCCAGAAGCACGTCGTCTTTTCGACACCAACCTCAAGCGCAGATCCTTTACGAATCTGTACGCTATAGTGTCACGACTGCAGCAAAACGTGCCGCAATGCAGCATTACCGCTATTGTGCGTATGCCATTGGCAGCAAAACGCCCCCAACGTCCAGGAATCGGGCAGATTGGTTGCATGTCGCTTGCGAGAGCTTTATCCATAGGCCGGGCCCGCCTTCGAAGTATGCGCATGGGATCAAAACAGGCTATGCTGACTGCTCAGGTTTGTGAATTACTGGGCCAGGCGCTTGAAATGACAAGGTAAGTTTCCGCTCGCACTTCGCCAGATCGAATAGAGGACGATCAAGGGAATGATACGCCGTCATGGTTATGGAGGTCGAATCGCCAAAGATGCGATTGGCGATGGGTAGCCCACGTTACGAGCGTGCGTACCGATGGCTGGAGAGTAAGTTCTGAGACTCGTCAAATCAGCCAGTCAGTCGCCCTGATGCCGAACAGCTATCACCACCATCTCGAAGAAATTGCCCCCCGCCTCCTTTCACAAAACATCACCAGGCCCTCCTCATTGCGATGTCGCTACATGCCAACACATGCCACGAACGATACCTGTCCGCGCTCCTCGCCGAACATCGTCGTGTCTCGCCGAACACCCGCTCCCAACTACAGCTTCTGCAGGATGCGTGGGAGTTTACGCGCCACATACGCACACTAATCATAGCCGAGCATAGCCTTACTGGATACTCACATGCTTTCGCCATTAGGGAAGGCGGGGAAGTGTGGAAGTGTGCGGATCGCAGGATAGCAAGGATTAGCGGGGCCGTTCCTGTACCCGGCAGTGTGTAGCGCTGACACATTTGCAGGGCGGTCTAGTGCTGAGGCAGGTCAGCTGTTCAACAGTCCATCTTGCGAGGGGGGCAGTGATTCGCGTTCAAACAGAACATGGCCCAAGAGACAAGTCATTGTGATCCGGAAGCGCTGTGGTGGATGGGTGGAGCTTGGAGGCAAACTTTTGCGGGCCGATTGTGATCGGTGCGGGACAGTCGCGGCGGGCCGATGCCGCCGCGTGCGCGCATAGCCACGCGCACATCTACCGACAGGAAAGAGCGCCTAACATTAGATTACCACATACACCAGGCTATCGACTCTACGATGAGAAAACATCATGACGCGTCGCACGATCTACACTCTCTCTCACCTCAGCCTTGGACGACCATTGTACCGGCACCCCACAACACGTTCTGAACCGCCCCAAAAGCGGTGCGGACACTGCCTTCTTCGGTACGTGGAAAGGCTAGTCTTACCAGAACTAGCTGGGCAAGGCGTTCTGTCTGGAAACTCATTGGCCGAATTAGATTAATTGCATGTGTAGGATGTCGGCATGGCGGGAAGGATGGCGAACCAACGGTTCTATACATGGGTTCTGTACCCACACCACACGATAAACCAGGCTTGGAATGGGTCAATTAACACGACTAAATCTAGGAAAGTGGCTAAGCAAATATCGATACTTTGCTAACGACCCCAAAGCTCCAAACTAACATGCTGATGGCACGGAGGAAGGCAGATACTCTGATCACCCCGTCTCGATCGCATCTCTCATTCGCAACCCTCATTGGCCGTGGAGAAAAGCCTCTCTTATCATTCTGCATGACGACGTAGCTTGCACACCACATCAGTACGCTATCTTCTCCGCTGACTCCAAACACGTATTGCGCGTCTAGTTATTCTAGTCTGGGCTGCTCTACATGTAAGACTACCAGAGGCACACTTTCGTCAGTCGTGCGTGTGAAGTTACACTGAAGTCACCGCAATTTGAGCCATGTGGCTGCTCGTACGCCGGTGGTGCGAAAGCCATTCCAACGGTCAGACAGGGCATCGGTGAGCGGTAGGCAGGGCAAGATCGTTACAAGGAAGCAGCCTATCTCCAAGGTTACATAAGCGCACATGTCTTAACGCCACTTCTTGCCGCAACACCGATCAGTGTAGCAAGGTTTGTCCCGTCTTGCTCTTCTCCAGTATCGACGATGAGAATAACAGAAAACTTTACATGCGGCAGGTAATTAGCTATCGAAAGCACTGAATGCACCACGAACTGATGGTGTTGCTACAGTGGTGGCCGCAGAAGCGGCCGCATTCTTTATCTCGGTGACGCACCGACAAAGCCACCGAGGAACGTCTCTCCGCTGCCAACTCCGTCTACTACCGTCAGGTCAGCGTTCGTATCCACGTGATGTTAGCTCAAACCAGTATCAGTCTCTTCCTCATGCCTCAACCGGTTTGGTACTGGCGTCGATCGTCAAGTCCTACATGCACTCACCTCGCCTATTCATCGCCGACAAATTCTAGTAGCTCGGCGACTTCTAGCACCCTGTTTGCACCCAGTGTATCCGCAATCACCGACATCCAGCTCATGCACCCGGTATACCTCCTCACAATATCTGCAAGCCATCAACATCCAACACCGATTCAGATTCCGGCAGAATAGTACCTTCCATTAGGCTTCTAGAAGGTCGACGTGTTTACACAACATCTTATCCTTGACATTAGCATATATCAAATTCCTCTCTCGGCGTGGGATTGGCTACCCACTATACACTCGGGTTCTACAAAAAGCATACCCAAGCTCCTACGCCACTGTCGTGTACGCATGAACATATACTGTGCATATGCTTGTGAATCGCGTGGTTCTGCTGCGGGGATTTATCTCGATTCTGTCGCTTGCCAAAGGTCTTATTGGGCAGACACCATGTACGCACGAGGCGCGGTTTCAGATTGTCCCGACGGGTGAAGTGAAGGATGTCATCTAGCCCGACAAGATGGGTACGCTGGAATGACGAAAGTGGTATTGACCAGATGCCAGTGCATTGGGTGCCACTAACGTGCATCACGCACTACCAGCAGGGTCAGTCGACAACACCGCCATCGAATTACCGAGCCTGTTGATCAACCACGTGTATACTGCACTCATGCCGCTGAACATGCAGTCACACCCCACTCTTCGTCGTCCAGAAAGACTTGAGTAAAGCAGTGTAACACCAACATCCACCCACCTACCCACCACCTTTCCGCAACAAACGCCGCGGCAAATCCTACAAACCACCTGCAGATCCACCTCCACCCCACTCAACTATTTGGAATGAGAAGGGCTGCATGGCGCAGACCCACGCTATCCATCGACCACGCGAGTCCCGATGTACAGGAGAAAGCGGGATACCATGACCACGGTAACCGACGCGATGCCGGCTTGCCGTTTCAGGAACGCGTGCTTTAGATTGCCACGGCAGACATGTGCTGCTTGATCGTCAAGCCACCAACATTACAAACGAGTCCGTGGGGATAGTCCAGACTACCTAGATACTAAAGACTCTACTATGGCCCCCAAAACTACCCAGCATCATAGCTGCTACTTCTGCGGCTTTCAAGTCCCGATCTGGCACGCTCGTATGATGCTAGTACGTCACTGATGTAACATACCACTCCCCTGCTCCCCTAGCGTCGAAACCCCCATCTTTGAACTGAGACAGCGGATCGGCATACCAGGGACGAAGCGTAGAGAAAACAGATATCGGATCCGAGCTCAGAGAGAGCGAGATCGAGAGCGACGCAGCAGCGCGGTGGCGATCTAGACTAGTGAGACAGCGAGAAAAGGGGCCATAGCGAAAGGCACGGCCAGTAGATCAAAATCAAACTTACTGTGCACTCAAGTGGGCTCTCTCAAACTCTGATCCATTTCGCTGCGTCGAGGACAAGATTCCCAATAGTACTCGCGCTAGCAAGAGACCAAGGGATGTGCAACAGATTGCGGTTTGGGCCATACCTATTACCAGCAGGCCTCAGTGTATGTTTCTTGGACGGGGACAGTTAAACTAGCTTCTACCTTCACGGAGAGACTGTAGTAGAAAATAGCGATGTAGACATGAGAAGAGATATTACTATTAACTTCTCCCCCTCCCCCCTCTAGTCGCTGTTGCAACGCACTCGACAGACGCCTTCGCTGAGCCCTCTCATGTACTCATTCATGCGATATCATGACATGCGACCCAGCCATCTAAAGCCCAGTAAAAGCGAACATCCACAGATCGAGAGAAGAAGAAAAACAAAAGCAAAATGAAGCGAAGAAGCGAAGAAGTGAAGAAGAAGTAGAAAAATCGAATCGAATACATGTTCAAACCCCTCTCAACCCACACTCCCTCAGTCCACACCCTTCCCCTTCCCATCACCTACTTCCCCAATCCCATCCACATCCCCATCCATACCCCCATCCACATCCCCATTCTCCGTAGCCACCATCTCCCCATCAATATCCAGCTCCGCCACCAACGCCTCAGCAGGCGGCACACCATTCGACAGCAAAACACCCTCGCTTGCCACATCTTCCACACCACCCGGCCCCTCCTCAACATCCTCATCCGTAATATCAACCAGTCTACTTTGCACTCCCAGCGGATTTTCTAGATCCAGAGGCAGTGGAGTATGAGGGGCGTTTATACCGTTGGCCAACCCATTAACCATACCATTCATCATCCCGCCGTTCGGGAATCCAGCGTGATCAGAGGGGGAAGTAGGCTTCGGCGATACCCCAACCCCCAACTCCCTAACACTCCTCTTCATACTCTCCAACCTCGCCCTCTCAGTCACACACATCCTGCGCGCCAAATCCCTCAACGCGCCTCTCCCCATTTCCACCCTACCCTCCTGCCAACTCGCCAACTCCTGCGCCACAACCTGCTGCGTATACCGCAACTCCCTGCCCAAATCCTCCAGCTCAATCTTACTCTTATCCATTTTATCCTGGGCGTCGCGCTGCACCCGACTGCGCGCGTCGTCGAGAAGACCCAGGGGCCAGCGGTCAGAGCGGCGGACGGAGAGGTTGTGGCGATCGATTGCTTTCTGGGTGGCGGACATGGAGGTGATGAGTGTGGAGGGGCGGGATAAAGCGGTTAGGATGGCGGTTATGGTGCTGGAGATGGCGTGCATGGAGTAGTAGAAGCCGGACATGGGGGATGCGTCGCTCTGTTTCAGTGTCTGGGTATACCGGTCTAGCGCTTTGAGGTGTTTGGCGGGCAGGAAGGTAAGGGAGTGGAGAGCTGTGTTAGCGATTTTAGCAGCGTCGTTGAGGTCCGAGGACGCGGAGCGGACTTTATTTGCGCGACGCAGGACGGAGCGCGAGGCGTGGTGTAGGGCGCGCACGTTTTCGCGCATGTGCTGGACGAAGAGCTCCACTTCGCGCACGTCGTAGATGGGCGCGTATTCTTCGCGGAGGCGCTCGACGCGGAGTTCGGCTTTGCGGGCTGAGCGCTCGGCGAGCATCGAGGAGTCGATGTCGGGGACGAGGAAGAACTCCCATACCATTTCGTGGGTGGAGAATGTGGGGTGGCGGAGGAGGATCTTGAGGAAGGCGTCGAGGCGGAGTTGCATGTCGCGTAAGATCGATCGTGATGGTCGAGAGGGTATCAGGTATGGTGATGCTAGATTCTGGATGGCGGGTAACCATGAAGCGGGGTGTTCCTGTGCGAGCCATTTTGCAAGGTTTTCGAAGTCCTGTGATGACCTACGACATGTTGTAACGGTGATGGTCTTGTTGTCGTTTGGCGCTCCAGACTTCAACACAAGGCGTACTGTTCCATCTTCGACGAAGAAAGACCGGACAACAGTAGTTGTGCGGCCATCCGGACCGGCTTCATTCGACAAGAGCACCAGGTCGTCGATACGGTTCCGAACGTCGTCGTCCTTAGCGAGCTCTACAGCGGTGAGACCACGAGCGTCCCTGTAAGATAGGTCTACTCTTGGGTCTTGGAAGAGCACCCGTACCATATCCGTTCGACCGTATTTACTAGCTACCATGAGTGGTGTGAACTGTCGATCGTTTGTTGCGTTGGCGTCGGAATCACAGCGGTACAGCAGCTTTGCGGCTAGCTGAGGGTCTGTAATGATGTGAAGCAGACTGTTGCCCTTGTTGTCGACGTGCTCATCGAGGTGTAGCGGTTGTCCATCATCTTGGTCTTGCGTTGCGGCAAGTAGTGCCTTGTCGACCATATCATGGTACTCGTCGTGATCATACGATCTACATAAAGCGAACACTGGTGTTTGGCCATTCTTGTCCTTCAGCCGCCAAGGAAGAAGATGTCCAATGCGGTCGATAAGTCGAGGCTGATTGAAGAGATAATGCGCTACACATCTACCCTTTGCATCTGGTTTCGAAAGATATGCTTGCAGTGCCTGAGGGCTTGGACTGTTGTCCAGGATGTAATTGAGGATTGTGTCCGTGGTTCTGGCGTGGCCCAGTTGGATGGCTGCACTCAACAGATTGGTGCCTTCATTGTTGTAGTCCTCGAAGACGAGAGAGGGAGTATAGTACTCAGTAAGACTGAGCAGATATTGCAGGGCCTTGTCCTGTCTATTCTCAATCGCCATCATCAGTACTGACTCGCCATCGGGGCCTTGAGTCATGGTCAGCTTTTCTATCGAAACATCGCCTTCGATGGCGCTGACGCGGGAGTCGAGGGTAGTCCGTGAATGGTATGAGCGTGCTGAGCCACTCGACATGCTCCTAGTGTCCGTGATAGAAACCTTCTTCTTCATCTTCGGTCTACCGGGTAGTGGTGGTGTTTGAGCGCGCTGGAAGGGGAAGATATGCGCCAAAGGGCCATCTTCATGCGCACTCTTTCCGCGAGATGGGCTTCGGGGTCGTAACGAGAAGTCGTCGTCACCGTTCAAGGTCGTGCCTGCTACGGAATGTAGATCTGATAAACTTGCAGCAAATCTGACTGGGCGATATCTTGGCGGGGTTTGGCTTCCGTCTGAGAAGCTGTCCAAATCTGCGTTAAAAGACCTGTCGGGCTCCAGTATGCCCTGCATTGTCGCAAGATCACCAGATTTCGTGGCCTGCCACAATGCCCTATTCCGCCGACTCGCTCTTCGCAGGCCGCCCGAATCTGTAGTGAGGTATGAGAGGACAGCCTCGAACGTGCTGAGCGCATAGCCCATCTCTCCACTTTCGACATCATCGATGAAGATGAAGTGCCGCATGTACGAAAGCCGCGCCTGCAGATGTCGTACTGGGGCCCTTATAACTACTATGAGCAATAGCGAAACGAGTGTATCCGCGTTGATGGTGAGAAGATGATCCTGCTTCTCCGACATTGGCTCTCCGTTTATCATATTCCTCGCCTGCGATTCGTCCGGCATTGTGATGTGCTTCTGTACTCCCAGGAGTATCTCCAACATCTCTTGCGGACTGCCTGCGACACCCATTTTCTTGAACATGTCAACAGCCTTCGAAAGCCGTATGGCTAGCTCTTGCTTGCCCTTGCGACCATGGCCAATGTCGATTCCGACTTGCGATATATCGATATCCACCATCTGTCGTGTGCGGCGCTCGAGGTCCTTATCTTCCACAAGCCGTATCTCTTGTATCCGTGGGAAGAGGATTGTGTGGTGCACTTGCTCCGCAATGTATCGCTCGATCATGCGCTCAACAATTGGACCAGTCAAGTCGGTCGTCGCGCCCAGTAATGACAGCTGCTGCTTGTCCACCATCTGGAAGAGATCAATGGCCGCTGTCACTGCCGTCTCCAACGATCTCCGCATCTGGTCCTCCTCGTCGCTGATCTCTAGATTCGATACAAAGCCATTCGGACCGTGAGACATGCTGCTGTGCAAGGATAAAGGCGTCGTCTCTGCTGAGGATACCGATCCGCGTCGCCGTGAACTCATTGACGAGCGCCGCGATCTCTGTGATGGTGTCGCTGGTAAGGGCTTTTCTAGCTCCTTGCCAAACTCTCTGAATAGTCTTTCCAGACCGGGTTGCATCTGGCGCGCGATCATGGGGAAATGGTTCAACAGGTCGCTGAACGACTTGACCTCCTTCTTCCGTGGCATCGACGAGCCGGCACCTGCAGGCGGGCCCGCTGCGCCTGACGGTCCTGCAACTGGTCCCACATCTTGTCGCGGTCCTAGTGTAGCCGGTATTATAGGGTTCGCATCGAAGGTGCCTATGAGGGGTCGCGATATGAAGTATACGAGCCAAGGCTGCGCATCGAAGGAGTCGGGGTAGAATATGGTGTCGCTCAAGAGCTGCGCTTGGTTGAGTGTTTTGAAGCCTGCGTCTCGATTAGCATCCAGACGTCATTCCCGACTGCGACCCATGTCTGCGCACCTTTGTTGCTGTAGATGAAAGCGTCCTTGACTATCACCGTCCGGCCATTCGCGGTTGTAAACTGCTTCGCCTTCCCCCGCGTCTCCCTGAAACTACCAGAGTCCTTGACATGATTGTTCGGCCCCACTCCACCCGGGACGCGCAGCACATGGCTTGCAAGGAAGTCTTCAGAGCCGCTGAGGTCGATGTACGAGGTGTTTGATTCTTTGTCGCGCGATGTGAGGAGGACTTCGGTGGTCGGGACGAGCAGGACCTATATCAGGCAATGTTAGTACTTGGGTCTCCCCTATACTCGCAGGTGTCGTACGTGGTGCTGGGCTGGCTGGCACTGGCTGGGGAGTGCACTACGGAAGAAGGCCCGTAAGAAGGGATTCAGCACGGGAGGCATTCAATCGACATTAACGAGGCTCTGGGGGTATTTCGGCATGCGCAGAGCATGTGACCTGGCGAACGAGGCGCGCGATCAGGTGTAGGCGTCGGAGGCGTTGTAGTCGTGAATAGGAGCCTGGTGCGATGGTTCGGAATGCGATGGATGGCGACGGCGTTGGCGCAGCGGTGGGGGTGTTTACGGCGGTTGCGCAAGGAGCGGAAGTGATGCGAGCGGCGAGGCTAGCACACAAACAGGCGGTGGATAGCAGAAGGTTCGCAAACAATTGGGATGATGGCTGATAGCAGCGTCGCCAGAGCCATTGGCTTGTGATGGTAATTGCTGCTAGCTGGGACCGGCTAGCGCTCGACGCGACTCTTTCGTCATCGCTCCCGCCCTTCCCCAGCTTTGTCTCACCACGCCACGTTGGCATCAAACCTAAAGGAAACACTGTTCGACGTGTTTGAGACTTAGAAACGTGCTTTTGACGCATCTCCAGCTATGCGAATGTTCTCCCTCCCATCTGAAAGCGCGTTGTCGCTGCCCTTGCGCCACTGCTGTGGCTGAGATGTGGCCACACGGTACGCGCACTGCCGGCAGGTAAAAGCGACCGAAGGCGATCCTTCATAAGCACTACTATATGACAGGCATTGCCTGGGTAGATCTTAATGTGTCACCTCTCATCTTCCGCTTATGAGGGGCGGTTTCAAGGACCTCTCACACAACACTTGCACAACGACAAGCAACCGATTACGCATCATCGCATTTTCAAGGCGAGCGATAAAGTTGGGTATCGGACAAGATTGGTCTATAGAAACAGCAAAGAATACGCCCATCTACTTAGACGACTTCCTACAAAGCTTCGTCCCATAATCCAAGACACTCCAATTCTCCGTCCCAGGCGTCGTCTCCGTAAAAAACACACCCTCCGGGTCCCACTTCTGCCTTATCTTCAACAAACGCGCATAGTTGCTCCCCCAATACGCTTCTTGCCAGTTAGGCTCGTTGAGGTCGCCTTCGTTAACGTAGCTGGCTCCATTGGGACTCACATCCCTCAACCTCTTCCCAAGGACATTCGTATTAAAACTCTCCCTCTCCTTCTTAACCTCCCACGACTCAGTCCCCGTCATAAGCACATTCGTAATCACAAAGGAACTGGCGTTGCGCCAGGTCGGGTGAATCGCGTTGTCGACTACGGGATACGCACGACCGGGGTTAACAATATGCCCGACGTTGAAGCCGAGTTGCGTGGGTTCAGGCATCGCGGCGTAGATGAGCGCATCTGCGATTTCGTCGCCATGCGCCGTGATGTCGGATTGGGTGAAGAGGCGGCCGCCGACGATGGATTGCTGGTTCGGGGGCTCGTCTTCGAACATGTCGATGTAGAATTCGAAGAATGTGGGGAAGGCTTTGGTGTGGGTGTCGTAGGGGACGCCGGCGGCGTCGAGTTGTGAGTAGAGGGGTGCCATGACTGCCTCGAGTTGTTCTTTGTTCATCTTGGGGCCGACGAAGGGCGCGATGTGCAGGCGTTGCGGGCCGGGGCCTACTTCGAAGTAGACGAACATGCCGTGCGAGCTGTAGTGGTTGGCGAGGTTGTGGAAGATGTGGACGCCCTTGGCAAACAGCTCGGTGTCGTTGGTGTGAGTTGAGTTGATGTTGAGGATCGTGCCGGCGGTGGGGACCTCAGGGAAGGTCTTGACGGTGATGGCGACGACGACGGCGAAGGAGCTGGGGCCGCCGCCCTTGAGAGCCCAGAAGAGGTCGGAGTTTTCTTTCGCGTTGGCCGTTACGTATTTGCCCTCGGCGGTGATGGCGTCGAAGGAGAGGACGTTGTCGGCGCCCATGCCGTAGATGCCGGTTAGTGGGCCGTGGCCTCCTCCTTGGATGTAGCCACCGCCCCAGCCGACGGTTGGGCACTCTCCTCCAACGATGACTACCTTGGGACTCTGGTTGAAGCACTGTCGGAATAGCTCGCGGCCCTGGACACCAGCGCCGACAATAGCTGCTGTGCCCTTCCAGTCCCCAGGTCCAGTGTACTTCTTCAGGAATTTGACGTCTCTGAAGCTGTGGGTGTTGATGATGAGTGAACCGTATCCGGTCGAACGGCCCCTGTACTTCTGTCAGTTCCGTCGTGCTTCAAGAGATAAGAGATTGTCTTACATGAAGTCGTGACCAGTGTTACGAATGATCAAACGAAGGTTGCGCTCTCGTGCAAAGTCCACACCCGCCTTAATCTGTTCCCTTGTAGTCGCCATGATGACGTACTTGCCGTACATGCCTTGTGTGCAACTACCCGATGGGTCGTCCGTCGGCATGCAAGTGTTGTTGGTTTTGAACGGCCAGAGCTCGGCGATGGGGTGGTCAGTTCTGGCATTGCGTTAGCTTCGTCATCTGCGTTCCCCAGGAAGGTTGCTCATACAGCCATTGCTCATTTGCCCAGTTGGCTTGAGTATCCGCACACTTCGCCGCATCGTAGACGCTAGTTCCGTTTCCGAAGTTGGTGTAGCAAACAGCGCCTGGTGGGATGGCGAGCTGTAGTGCGCCAGAGACGGTCTGGTTGAGCTTCGACCAGTCTTTGTTGGTTGGCCAGCAAGAGTTGTCAGAGTAGCATTTGCCTGGAGTTCAATAATCAGCATACATTCCAGTGAAATCGAAGAGCGGATATTGCTTACACTGGTAGTCAACGCCATCCACCTTCTTGACCTCACCAATCCATTTGGCGCCCAAGACACCGTTGGCCGCCAGCAGGAGAGGAGCGAATACTGAGAAGCGACCCATGTTGACGAAGGCGGGAGGGTATACAGAGTCAATCGACTGTCCACAAGGTACCCATGGGCTTCCCGTCTATTTATCTCAGTCATGGCTACAAACGCTTCGCAGTTCCCTAGACAGCCTAGCGCACATTCTCGGAGAAGCTCTAGCCTTTGTCATTAGCAACACGGTACGCCCTGCAGCAGACACTCATGCTCTCAGATTGGCCTAATACTAGCAGAGCGCAAGAGGTGGTACTGCTAGTCTGCGTACCGTCTTCCAGACCCAGGGTACCTGGAAATCCGAGCCGCACTCAACAGCGGCAGTAGAGCCACAAGAGGTAATTTATTCGCACTAGAACACATCGTCGGTACCGGGCCGCTGGGAAACACAAATGAGTTGGCGTGTTTGCGGCGATCCTATTCACCCGGATAATCTTGGGGCCCTGGTAGACTGACCGCCAAGACAACGGTGCTTGTATGGCTTATTCTTTTCGCCACAATCCAGATATCTTGTGAACCTGAATCTTGTGATTGCCACGTTGTTGACGTTGGCGAGGCTGGCAGAAATGCCGTAGCGAAACGCTGCACGCGGGCTCACGTCCGGTATGCGGCTCGTGTATGTAGTATCGCGCCTCAGCTAGCCAAGCCGGTACGATCTAAACGCTCAACTAATATAGCTGCGCATAAGAGATCTCGCGTGGCAATACTTGCATTATGCCCGGTAAGCATCGAATCTGCAATCGAAATCAGAACTTATTGCGGCGCTCTTCAATTGGAGACGTGCAATCAACGCGCGCTTACGCGCATGTATACAGCAACGGCAGTCCGCGATGTTGTCCAACGTAGATGCATCTGGAAACCATTGATCTGCGGAGGATCTATATCGCGCTTGTGGGGTCAAACAATGGGGTACCCTTTGACCATGAGTGCAGGTGCATGATTCGGTGCGGTTGAGATGCCTCGTATCTACGGATTAACCTTTCGGTGGCATGAGCGATGAGCATGGCGACTTCATGCCGTAATTTTAGCCTCGGGATAGCAGCTCTCTTCTGTGTAGTCTCCGCATCCGCCTGTCCCCGCGGTTCGCAGCTCCACTTTGTCTTGGGGCAAGGGTCCAGCGGCTCGCTTCCGGAGAACCGCTATTGGCTTCCGCTGCTGAGCCGTCAATCAGTCTCTTCACGCACTTGGATGCAGCTCTGGAAATACCATGATATCGGCAATTGTCTCGGTCGTATTGATGTTCTAGCAAAGGCGATGAGACGACGGCCCTCTGGATGATCGTCGTGATCGTCGATAGTAGCGCCGGTTCCATGAGTCCGCAGGTCCGGGAGACTGGACATGACACGCATCCGAGCCGTGTTTTCGTTCAGGGCATTCCACGCTAGCAAATCTGACTTGGCTCAATTCCATGTGATGGTCAACGCTGGAGCCCCTGTGCATCTTCTATAGCTGCATCCGCCGAGGTAGATGCTCAACTCCACGTATGGGACTGGGGGCCTGAGAGGCGAAAATCTGGTTCGGGAACCAGGCTCATTCGCTTCCCGGCCCAAGCCAAAACCATCGCATGCTATACAACCTCTTAGGCCAGGCGATCTGCTACCAGAGTGTCGGTATCGTAGTCAAATATATACAGCTCTGGAAAGTCCGCTCGAAGTCGACTTTGAGTGAGTCTTGTCGCTTCGATCTGGGAGGTCCCATTGTCGATCTCTACAACCTTCTTTGAGAAACTCTGTTGCGCTGAATTCTCCACGATTTGGTATGAGAACTCTGGACTTGCGTTCCTTCTGTCCGGCTCAGGATATGCCTCCCCATAATGAAGGGTCGCCGAATTTGGCGCGATTATGAGCATCTGGAGGGAGGGACATCGTGTATGTGTCCATTAAAAAAACCGTGTCGCGAGTCGGTGATGCATGTCGCGAGCACCCACTTCAGGCGGAGAGGAGGAAAATAGGGACTTTGGTGTTGCGGCCTTGATAAAGATGCAGCATATTCAGCTTCTTAAGCTTTTCGATCGGTTCCTAGAAAGCGCGCTGTGTTATTGAGTCTGAAGACACATTTTGGAGTTCACGCATGTGGAGACAAAAGTGCCGAAGATCTGGCTCCGTGTCACCAGCGCTTTACCGTCTTCGTTCACGGAGTTGTTTAACTTGTCGTTATTGAGTAGTCCGAAGTAAACAAGATTCTGCAGTTTGGATGAGCTGGACAGGTATTGTAGTGGTTGATATCTGCACATGGACAGAGACAGCTTAGTTACCGGAGGCAAAATTATTAGCTGAGCCAGACCCTGGTTCATGTCGTATGCCCTCTAGTAGATTCAAACTCCGCGTGTTAACCAAGTGCTTTCGCGCGCCGATGTCAAGGCATCGCCGGAATACAGTGGCATTGCCCGGGAAGAGCCAGTTCGGCAGCCGCTCATCGCGAGCATATGTACTGTTGTGTAGCACGATCTTCCGGTACAGGTACTCCGTAGCGATGCTGTTTCAGTCCTTCGAAACTAAGCAAAGCGCTTTCAGATCCGAGTAGAGCGAAAGCTGAGAAATGCGATCAGGTAACAACGAACTTCTGTTTGG